ACACAGCACGGGGAGGCCACAGTGGACTCTCGCTGCGACCACCAACGGGATAGGAACGTCAGGCACGTCGGCCTTACGCTCCATGGGAAACACCGTGGTATAGCATGTGTAGTCGGCGACAAGCATTAGAAAGTAGCGCTCTCGGCGCTGCTCGGGGATGGGGGCTGGGCCCCAGACGTCCAGGTGCAGGGTCTGGAGTGGTGCAGAGGTAGGGCGAAGCGAGGAGGAGTGAGGAGCATGGCACAGCTAGCCCTCAACGCAAGGCATGCACGGTGGCGCAGGCGAGGGAGGGAGGGTAGGGAGCGATGCAGGGAGACCTAGGACAAGACTGTGCTGGGACATGTAACGCAAGCGCGGAAGGGCGAGGTGACCTAGGCGGTGGTGGCACAGAAGCGACGGGTGATTGAGCAACCGACACGAGCAAGCCGAACCGACCTTGGTAGACGCAGGCACCTTGGGAGGCGCCCTCACCAAGGGGGACGCGGTGTTAAGCGTAAACAGGCCAGACATTGAGTCCCGGGGGAACGTGGTGAGGGGAGCACCTGTGGCGGCCTCGGTACAGATCGCGTACCGCTCGTGTTCGTGGAAGGTAGTGGTGACGCGGAGGTCCTGAAGACAGCTGACGCCAACTAGGTTCCTGGAGAACGAGGGGATGTGCAGGCCTATAAGAGAGCTTGAGGTAATCGCCGGAGAGGGAAGGGTAGCGGAGCTACAGGCAACTACCGGACTTGAGGAGGGGTCAGCTAGCGCGGCAACGGCAGGGGCGGCAAGCGGTGCGAGCACAGTGTGGTCGCGGAAGAAGCACGCAGACGCACCAGAGTCGATCGTGAAAGAGAGTGAAGTGGTGGCGGCAATCGGCGGAGGGGCTAGTGTGGAGCCTAGGCTAAACAAGGCAGAGAGTCCTACGCCTGACATAGAAGGGGAGCCTACACTACACTGAGGTGGCACACCTACACTTGGCAACACAGAGTATTAACATCCGGATACACTAGAGTCATCAGCATACAAGGTAGAGCAAATTTGATCCATATCCATCTCAAAGACCGGAACACGGTGGCGTACCAGAATGGGTCAGTCGGGGAGGTCCGGTGTAGGGCCGAAGTAGAGACGGAAGAGGTCGTCGAGGCGGCGGAAGCATAGGCGGCAGTGTGGCTAGGACGGCCACACACAGTGCTGCGGAGGGGGCCGGTCTGGAGCTGGTACTGGCAACCTACAGAGCCGAAGCTACGACCCGATGCCGAGCTACGAGGGCTGTCACCACGGCCACCACCACTAGAGACATCGGGCCACCCCGGCAGGAGGCGGCCCCACGGTTGCGGCTGCTGCTGCAACTGCTGCTGCTGCTGCTGCTTCTGCGACTGCTACTGCTGCGACTGCGGCTGCTACTGCTGAGGCTGTTGATCCTGCAGTTCCAGGGCACCAGCCCCGGTCCCCTCGCCTGCACCACCGTCCCCGCCCCCACCTCCACCACCCCCACCACCCTTCCCTCCGCCACGCCCTCCCTTGGGGCGGCGGCCCCTACCCTGGCGCGGCTGTGCTGAGGCTGCAACGGCAGTCGCAGTGGCAGGGGCTGTCTCAGCGACTGCGGCAGAAACGTTAGAGTAAGTGCACTGGGAGGGAGCACAACCCTGAAATATAGGGACCGCCGCAGTACCGCTAGACTGAGGGATAGTGCGCTGGCGGGTCTCTATTTCGGACAAGGCGGTGACAAAGGCGGTAAGCGTGAGGTCACCTGGGTGCTGTCTAAGGGAGTGGTCGCGGGCAGGCGTTTCGGGAGGCGTGTGGCAATGAGGTACAGGGTAGCACAAAGCGGCGGTAGGAATGCAGTGAGCTGGGCCTCAGTGCTAGTGGCGTGGTAGCTAGTCTCAAGGGCGCGGAGGTGAGTGGCAAGGTCAACGACAGTAGGGAAGGACGCAAGGTCAGGGAACAGCATGGGGAGGATCAGGCGGCCAGCAGAGGCTATGGCGGGCGTGGAATAGTGTGCAGCGACTGCATCTAAGAATTCCTTGGCATTCGCTCCAGTGGTAAAGCGGGGACGCTGAGACAAGAGGAGGGCGTGACTAATAGCAAGTTGCGCTACGGCGCCGCGCGACTCCCAGACAGCACGAGCAAGCGCAGCAGCGGAAAAGGCCTCACGCTCAATGGGGGTGGGGGCATTAGGAAGGGTAGCAGGCGCGGCGGGACGGGGAAGCAGACCATTGACATGAACAGCCAAAGAGTACCCGTCCTGGCGCTGACCTGTCAGGTGACGGCGAAGGTCGACGAGCCAGGCCTCAAAGTCGATCGCGTGACCCTCCGCGTCTAGGCGGTGCACGGCGTCCGCCATCCCACGACCTGAGCGACTGACGGCGGCATGGAGACCCGGCAACACGGTGGCAGAGTGGCACGGCAACACGAGGGCACAGCGACATGGCGGCACGGCGACACGGCGGCACGTCGGCACGGCGACACAGCGACACAACGGCACGGCATCACGGCGGCACGGTGGCTCGGCGACACTGCGGCACGGCTTCACGGCAGCACTACGGCACGGCAGCACAGTGCCACAACGGCACGGCGGCACAACGTTACAGCGGCACGGTGGAACCGGGGTCAGCGCGAGGGAGACCGGCAAGGAAGGGACCGGCTAGAGAGGGGCCAGCTAGTAATGGGCTGGCGAGCTGGGGGCCGGCTAGCTACGGGCCTGCGAGCAAGGGGCTGGGGAGCTCAAGGCCGGCTAACAAGGGGCCAGCGAGCAAGGGCCTGGGTCCGCGGGGGGCCACAAGCGCAGAGCCGGCGAGCGCAGGCCAGCGAGCGCTGGGCCAACGGGCATGGGCCAACGAGCACAGGGCCAACGGCTGTGGACCAGCGAGCAAGGGGCCAGCGAGCGTGGGCCAGCGAGCACGGGCCAGCGAGCGCGGGGCAACAAGGGCGGGCCGGCGAGCGCAGGGCTACGAGGACGGGCCAGCGAGCGTGGGGCGACGAGGGCGGGCCTACGAGCGCGGGGCGATGAGCTGGGCCAGCGAGCGCGGGGCGACAAGGGCGGGCCTACGAGCGTGGGGCAACAAGCGCTATCCAGCGAGCGCGGGGCAACGAGCGGGGCCTACGAGTGCGGGGCGACGAGCAGGTCTTGTAGGCTAGGACTAGGGCTAGGACTGGAGCTAAGACTAGGGCTAGGACTAGGGCTAAGGCGGAAGCGTGGGTGGGTGAGGAGGACCTAGCCTAGCGTGATACCATCTCAAGGTAACGAGTTGACTAGAATAGGGCATACAGGGTAGTTTTGTTCTAAGTGTTGTACTCTCTATGGTATGCTCCTAGCTAGCTTATAAACATATACAAATATATATGTTGACATACGATTCCTCTAATTCTTCAGAAACTGAAAATTTAGCCGTTTGATCATCAGACAGGCCTCTGATGGCCTAGAAAGTGCCTAGAGCCTAGCGAGAGCCCTGCTCTCCCTTGGTTGTATCTAGATCTATACTATACCGGTTTTGTATTAGCTTGTTACACTTGCCGACTGGTCTTCTTCTAGCCCTTGTTTTAGTGGTGAGACTAGTGGTGCTGCCCTGAGCTGTTTTGTTATATACTCCAGAGGCTAGACTAGTAGTGGAGCCTTGGATTATTGTTTTTTGTTAGGCTCTACCCCTACCCAGGCTAGGGGGTAAGTGTTAAGAAAGCTAGGCTAGTAGGAACGGTAGGAAGCCATGGAATGGCGTGAGGGTTTTGGACTAGGAAAGTTGAGAGAAAAGAGGGTGAGACTAGGAAGAGAGAGGCATACAAGGAGGGAGTTGTACCCTCTACAGTAGAGTTCGATAAACCTACCAAGCCTACCAATTATATAACAAAATATATAATTTAACACACCCCCTAGGCTTGGTAGTCTCAAGCCCACCTAACACGCACACCCCCTAACCCCTTACAACCCCATGCTCGAGATCAGCTGGGTATCTATCCCTTGGGCTTGGCATGGTGACATCCCCCGGGGAGAGGCAGCGCGAGCAACGGCCACGGCTGAAGGCTCTCGGCGGTGTGGCACGGCGAGGCGACGACCGGGTAGAAGACAGCAGCTGCGGCAGGAGGAGGAGGAGACGCTGGGGAAGGGGCCGGGGGGGGGGGGGGAATCTTTAGCGACGCGCCACGGGTGGCGTGGCGCTTACTGGCGGGAGAGGGCGAATCTTCAGCGAGGCAACATGGCTGGCGCGACGCTTACTGGCGTGGGGGCGTTACGACTGGCGCCTAGGACAGGGCGCTGGCCGCAGCTGTCAGTGCGCTGGCGTGGCAAAGCCGCCACAGCAGCACGACGGCACGGCGACCCAGCGGCACGGCGGCACGGCAACCCAGGGGCACGGCAGCGCGGCGGCACCGTGGCACGGCGGCATGGTGGAACGGCGACACTGCGGCACTGAGGCACGGCGACGTGACGGGGCCGGCGCGGAGTGACGGGGCCGGCGAGGCGTGACGGGGCCGGCGCGGAGGGACGGGGCCAGCACGGCGTAACGGGGCCAGCTCGGCGTGACGGGGCCAGCGCGGAGTGACGGGGCCAGCGCAGGGTGACAGGGCCAGCGCGGTGTTACGGGGCCAGCGCGGAGGGACGGGGCCAGCGCGGAGTGACGGGGCCGGCGCGGTGTGACGGGGCCAGCGCGGCGTGACGGGGCCAGCGCGGAGTGGCGGGGCCAGCGCGGCATGATGGGGTCAGCGCGGCGTGACCGGGGGGGGGGGTACGCTGCGGAAGCGTGAGGAGAAGGCCCGAGCGAAAGGGGCCTGCTCTGATACCATGTTAAGAAAGCTAGGCTAGTAGGAACGGTAGGAAGCCATGGAATGGCGTGAGGGTTTTGGACTAGGAAAGTTGAGAGAAAAGAGGGAGACTAGGAAGAGAGAGGCATACAAGGAGGGAGTTGTACCCTCTACAATAGAGCTCGATAAACCTACCAAGCCTACCAATTTCATAACAAAATGTTTTAACAATAAGTTAGCATTCATATATATATATATATATATATATATGTGTATGTGTGTGTGTATGTATTAGAAATATATTATAATACTGTAGCTAGAGGCAGTTCATATAGGGTGCATGCCTTTGTTCCCCACCTTCCTCTAATCAACTTTTCTCCTCATAACATGCATGCTTGTCGTTCTTGATTCGATTACAAGCACTTACGATTTCTGAAGCGCATATGTGCTTATATCCAGAGAATTACGGCATGTCATGTGTCACCTTCCCTCCACATACGGCAGCAGTACAAGTGGAAGCCAGGCATGCCATGTCATGTGACACCTTCCCTCATCGCATGGTGTACTACCGAGTAGCGGCGGCTGGGTTGTGGCCGTCGCCGTTGTCAGTAGTGGTGAGGTCATGGTTCCTTGAAGCATTGGCCTTGGCGTGTGCCATGCCATCCACCACATCATATGCTATGCCATCCACCACATCATGTGGCATGTCATGCCCCATGTCGTGCATGAGCTCCAGTTCGTGCAGAGCAGCATCTGGCTCCGACATGCTTCCCATGGCACACAGCACACTAGACGCCCCACAATTCCACTCCACACCCTCCCCTCCACTCCCATCCCCCTCCAACTCCCCCTCATCTTCTTCCTCCTCCTCACCCCCCACTAACACAGACAGGCTGAGCCTTCCCCCCCCACCTCTCCCTCCCCCTTCTCCTGCCCCACCAGTTACCAAACCCATGGCAGAGTCAGCAATTGCCGAACCCTCCACTGTTCCAGCAACTAGCCCATCACCCTCTACCCCCAATGCCATACTCCCGGCTGCTGCAAGTCCTGCTGGCATAACTGCCTCTGCACCCACCTCCTCCTCAACTGACAACATTCCTTCTGCTGCTGCGCCCCCAAGCCCATGCCAAGGAGTCCCTTCGACACTCCCCACACCCTCCCCATGCTCCCCACCCTCAACACCTCCCCCACCCCCCGCACACTCCCCGCCTTCCACCGCCCCAACAACCAGCGACGAAGAAGTAGACATGACTGGCGTGGCATCGCTGCTCCTGCCCACATCATTCAGAACCAGCATGTCTTGAAACCCTGGCGCCTGCCCTTCCCTCCCCGCCCCCCCATCCCCACCCTCCTCCCCCACTCCGATTCCCTCCCCGTCTCCCCCCAAGACCTCGGCGCTTGCCTCTGCTAATCGCTTGGGCCGGTGCAGTTCAAAGTTGCCGCTGCGGGTTTCCTCGCACTCGAGGCTTTGGCGCAAGAGCAGGGCCCAGTGGCTGCCTGGCGCAAAGGGCAGTGGCGAGGAGAAGCAGAGCGGCACGCCATCCCCATCTCTGTCTTCTTCGTTGAAGTCCCCATCGCCCATGTCATAGCCTTGGTACTCCAGGCCCATCACGGAACAAGCAGCACCGCCAGCACCAGCAGCACCAGGAACGCCTACAGCAGCAGCACTGTCGCGCACGCCAGGAGACGCTACTGATGCCAGCGCTGCAGCCACAGCAGCGGAGGTGATGCTCTTGTCCCTCTTGCCCCTCACCAGGCTCACAAGCAGGTCCCTCGTCTCCATGCTCGACTCCCCTACCACAGCATACTGCGGGGAGAGCAGCACGGCGTCAAGAGAAGCAGCAGTGGGCAGCAGAGGCACATCCGAGTTGGACCCCACCCATGGCAAATCCTCCACAGGGTTTCCCCCCTCGCTCCCATAACTCCATCCTTCCTCACCTCCTTTTCGTCCTCCTCCTTCTCCCCCTCCTCCTGCACCCGTCCCGCCTCCACCTGCTGCCCCTGCTGCCGCCCCTGCTGCTGCCCTCCCAGCATAACCAGCCCGTCTCCTCTCCCGATCCCCACCAGCAGTGACGATACGTGACAGTCTGCTACCAGTGGCAGTGCGAGTCATACTCATAGCCATATTCATGGTCCCTCGGTTGAAATACCGAGCCAAAACCGCCTTCACTTTCCCCTCTATGCGCCCACTGCTGCTGCTGCCAAAGCTGATCCCCCCGCCACTTCTGCCACTGGCGCTGGCGCTGGTGCTGGTGCTGGTGCTGGATCGATGGCTGGCACCCATTCGGCCACTCACGCTGCCTCTGAAACTGCTCTCTTGATCACCACCTGACGCGCCAGCAGCGATTCCTGCACCTCCAGGAACCAGCCTCCGCCAACTGGCTCTCTCTTGCTCTCTGACGTCCCTCACCCCATACTTCTCTTGCCCCTCGTGCACCTCTTGCAAGCGAACCTCCTCCTCGTCCTCCTCTTCCTCATCTGCCGCGTCCTCATCCAGAGTTCTGAACCCCTCGGTCGTCAACGACCGCGAGCGAAGAAGAGCCTCGCCCTTCTCCACCACACCCCACTTCCCCCACGTGCCAGACCCTCCTCCCACTCCCCCTACTCTGGCCCCTATCCCTCCTCCCCCTCCACCTCCCACTCCCCCATCCCCCTCACCTCCCCTCCGCCCCACCCTCCCCCTCCACCCCATCCTCCCCCTCCTCCAACTCTTCTCTCCCCTCCAAGCCCGCCTCGTTTCACCGCCCGCCCTTTCCACGCCATAGCACCCGCACCTGCCTGCCTGTTGGAGTCCCTTGGGCTCACCAGCGCGTGAAATCCGGCTGCTATACCAAGACTTAATACGGAAGGGCCCTTGTGCCTCCGCCCCCCTTGCGCTCCCCCTCCCTGTGGAGGGGCTGGTCCTAGGGACGGCTGTCCCTCTCTCCCCTCCCCCTCTCCTCCTCCACTTCTGCTCTCCTCCCCTGATGCTCCTTTCACTGCTGCTGCTGCTGCTACTCCTTTCCCTCCTGCTCCTGCTCCTCCTCCTGTTGCTGCTGCTGCTCCTGCCAATGCTGCTCCTTCTCCTGCCAGCACTTCTCCTTCTCTCACCGTCGTTGCTCGTAGCGCACCACTATCCCCTGCATCCATACCAGGCCCAGACTCCTCAGCAGCAGCAGGAACCCCCCCCCTTCCTCTGGCCATGCCCTTGCCCATCCACCCAGCAACGCTCAGCACTCGGCTGTCCAGGCTCAGTGTCTTGTGATGCCGGCCCTCCCTCTGCTTCCCACTCCTCTCCTTGTCTTTCTGCAGAGGGTTCAGCAGCTGGGGCCCTACTTGTTGATGGGGGTGGTGCTGCTGGGGGTGGTGATGGAAGGGGTGAGGCGTGGCCTGGGTATGGTGGTTACCTCGGGGCTCTTGCGCGAGCTGCACTTGCTGCTGTTGCTGCTGCTGCTGCTGAAGCTCATTGCTGGCTGTTGCTTCACTGTGGGGCTGTAAAGCCTCACGGGGGAGGACCAGACGGGGAGAAGCAGCTAGGAGACTAGCATCAGCAGGAGGAGGGAGGGAAGAAAGGGAAGTTTGAAGAGGGGAGGAAGAACTCAAAGAGAGGGAAATGCCTGGAGGTTTCGCCCTCCATCTTTGCTCTCCTATGGCCTGTACTGCAAGCGACTGTGTTGTTGGTGGCTCTGCACCACCACAAGTAGCTTCCCCGTCATAAATACAAGGCTTGAAGGGGATTGCACCATTCGCCGCAAGCTGGTCCGCGTCAGCTGCTACATCACCTGCCAAGCCAGCTGCCATGCCAGCTGCCAAGGCACCTGGCCTACTAACGGGTGTCTCTAGAATCTCCCATTTATCCGCAAGCCGAGTGTCCACGGGTGCATTGGTGCGGTGCTGCAGTGCTGTCTGTATGTTGCCCGTTCCCCTGCTCGCCGCTCCCTCCCGCTCCTCGTCCACTCTCGTGTCCGCGCCCTCCCTGGTATTGCCAGCATCCCTCTCGCTCTCGTTGTCATTGCCGCTGCATGCGAAGCAGGACGCAGCAACAGCGGCAGAAGAAGCGGAAGAAAAGGCAGCCGCCGCCACAGCAGGCGAAGCAGCAGCAGCAGCAACACCAGGAGAAACAGCAGGAGTACCAGCCTTCCCCTGAGCCCTCGCCGTCCCCTGTTGAGTGTGGGCCAGGACAGGAGGGGTGGTGGGGGAGGGGGAGGGGGAGGAGGAGAAGAAGGACCGGCTGACAGATCCAACACGGGGACTGATCAACGCCTGCAGCCCTGCCGCCAGTGCACCTCTCCTCCCACTCCCGTCTCCCCCTCCCCCCCCTCCACCTCCTCCCCCCACTCGGCCTCCTCTTACCCCTCCTCCGAAGAAACTGACTCCAGGAGAAGCACTGAGCAGCTGCATGCCTTCCGTCACAGCAACCATCTCACTACCACCACCACCATCACCACCACCAGCACCACCACCACCAGCACCACCAGCACCGGCAGCACCATAACCGGCAGCACCGCCACTGGTACCAAAACTATCCACGGAAATTACCATCTTGAGCCCCGCCCGCTTCCTAAACACGCCCTTGCCCTTCCTCCCCGCTCCCTCTGCTGCCCCTTCTGACAGCAGCACTCCTGCTGCTGCTGCTGCTGCTGCTGCTGCAGGAGCTGCTGGGGTTGACGCTGCTGCACACCCCTGTCGCCCGCTGCCCGTTTGGATGAGCCGGTGAGACGCTGCTGCTGCAGCTGCAGCTGCAGTCACCGGGATTGCGTCCACCCCACGGCTGCCTTCCCTGCTTCGGAACTTGCCTAGCCCTCCAAGGGACCAGGAGTTCGTTGAACCTCCCAGTGACCAGGGGCTTGTTGGACCGTCCAGACTGCGCGTTCTGCAGTGCCTCCCTCCCACCCTTCCTCCTCTCTCCCCTCCCGCTCCCCCTCCTCCTCCTCCCCCTCCCCCTCCCCCTCCTCGACCATTATCAGCACCACCATAGTCGACACCATCACTACCACGAAGTATTTCTCTTTCCTGTATCACGAGTGTTAATGCCTCCTCCTGCTGCTCCTGCTGCTCCTTCTGCCCCTGCTGCTCCTGCAGTTGTTGCCGATGCCTAGAACCGTCATCATCACCAGAGTCATCATAAACACCTTCTCTCCCTCCACCACTGCCCCTACCAGCACCTCCCCTCTCATCACCACTCCTCACTCCCTGCCTGCCGCCTTCCGTATTACTGCTCTGCTCACTTCCCCTAGCACTAGCGGCCGCAAGCAGCAACAGCACTCCAGGGAGAGGCCAAGCTGCTCTAGGCGAGTCAATGGCAGTGGTGCATGCTCCGGCTTCCCTTGGGGAAGCATCCGGTTCGCATGGCTCTCCTTGCCAGTCCTTATTCAGCGCAAGCGCGCTCCCACGCACCCCAGGAACAGAACCTTCTGCTCCCTGTGCCGCTACTTCTCCTCCTTCTCCTTTCCCACCAGCAGCAACCACAGCGGCGGCGGCGGCGGCAGCACTGGGAGTGTGGGGAGCAGTACCGGGGGAAGCAGTAGCAGCTCGTTTAGAAAGGCCCAGCCCTTCAATAAGAACGCCCACAAGCACCCTCCCGTCAAGACTCAACGTCTTCCGATGCCTGCCCTTCCGCACCTGCCTCCTCTCCTCCCCTCCTCCGCCTCCTCCGCCTCCTCCGCCTCCTCCACCTCCTCCTTCCCCTGCTCCTCCCCCTTCTCCCCCCCTTTCCCCCTCTGCTCGTTTCCCTTCAGGCGTGCTCGCCCCCTCCACGTCAGCTTCTCCTCCTCCTCTACCTCCTCTCCCTTCACCCCCTCCCTTCCCTCCTCCCCACCCCTTCCCCTCTCCCCCATCAGCGTACGTACCACTGTCTACCGACCTCGGGTGTGGTAGGTCGTGGTATTGAAACCGTCGACGGGTCTTCTTCTGCTTTGGCTGTAGATTCTGCTGCGGCTGCTGCTGCTGCTTCTGCCCCTGCTGTTGCTGCACAATAACCTGCTCCAAATCTACCTGCCTCAAACTCACCTGCTCCGGGTTCACCTGCTCCAGATACACCTGCTGGGCTTGCTTCGGCTGTGCTGCACGCCTCTGTGAGCCACCATACTGTCCTCGGCTGTTGCCGGACATAGCAGCGGACAGCAAGCCGTGGCTCCATGCCAGAACGGCAGGCTCGGCAGAGGTGGTTCGGAGCAAGGCCCGGCCCGAGGCAAGGGGAGAGAAGGAAGAGGAGGACGACGAGGTAGCGGGGGGCCGTGAAACCTTGGAGGCTGGAGAAAACGCAGCGGAGGCGGCAGCAGCATCAGCAAAGGAAGGGGCTGGTGGGAACGGCACTGCTTCGAGTACGGCAGAAGACGCGGAAGCAGAGGAGTGCCTCAGCGTGCGAGTGGGCCCGGGGGCCTGTGCCGAGTAGCTGTTTGATACACTGGCCGCCGTCGTATAGTCGCCAGTGCTGTCCCTACCACCTCCCCCTTCTCCTCCCCCTCCTCTTCCTTCTCCCTCTCCTCCTGCTTCTCCTCCACTTTCCCCCCCTCCTCCTCCTTCTCCCCCTCCTCCTCCTTCTCCTTCTCCTTCCGCGGCCAGGCGTTCCGCGATAGGGCTTCTTACACGCCCGCGGATATCTACACCGCCTGGAGCTACATCTGTATCCTGTGCCGAGGCGGACTGTAACGGGTTTCTGCTGCCGCGCCGCTTGCGAGCGCGGAAATCATAGTTGGACTGGAGGGACAAGGAGCGCAGAAGAACGGGAAATCCCTTCCCTAGAAAAGCATCTTCTCTCGAATTCCCTTTTCGAATCCCGCCACCAGCGCCTTCCCTCTCTCCCGCTCCGTACCTAAGAAACCTCACCGCTCTCGATCTATCCGATTCTATTTCCATCGCCTTTCCTTGACTCTCTGTCCTAGCTCCCTTTCGTTCTAGTACACTCTTAGGCTAGAGGCTAGCCCTAGTAAATATTTCGGCTTTTCGCGGCACCGTGCGCGACGTGACTTCGGCTGACCCTCGCTCTTCGCGCGTCGCGTGCCGTTCGGTTTGGTCAGGTCCAGTGGGCACAATCGACACAAGAGTCACGTTCGGTCCAGTGGGCCGTTCTTGGCAAGAACCGACGCGGCTAATACTCCCCCCTCCTTTCCCGCATGACCCATCCAGTTCCTAGATGGGAGGAGTCCGTTGCACGGCGAGTATGCCGGCCGTTACGCAATGGGGCTGCTAGGAAACATGTACTAGTAGATCCAGTGCTTCCCTTGTCGATGGGTCGTACTGGATAGTGTTGCAACTACTGCCGACCTGACCTGACCACTATCGTTCCGTTCAATTCCCAAGGCAAGGTACAAAAGATTTTCGCGTTTACCTGACACGAGAAATGACGCAAAATGGAACAACTGCTGTACAGTATGTCGGCAGGAAACGTACACACAAACCCAGCCCAAACACCAAGAAAGTGCGGGCAGCAATCGAGGACCCAAACGACCGTTGCCTTGCCGCGAGAGCTTTCGTTATTATTTTCGGGCTGGGCTCGTACGAACCGGGCAGCCAAGTTATCCTTTTCACCTCCCGCACCAGTCCCAAAGCGAAGTCAAAGGAGAAACTGCGCGATTTGTAGAAACTGTTACCTGAATAAAACATTTCGACCTTTATCTCCAGGCGATTGCAGTGGCCGTTCAGGCCAATTCGGTCAACCAATCACAACTGTTCCCTCAAAACTATTGATTTCAGAATTTTTCTAACGACAAATTTGGTTCCGGCCCGAAATTAACGGATCATTGTGCGCCGCCCTTCTGAGTGTACAGTGTTGGAATGGTCTTGTACACTTGGCTCGTAGTAATTTTATAGGTTGAACCTGGACGGTAGAAACAGTTGTTTGAACATCTGGGTCAGCAGAGATTTCCGTGGTGTTATGAAGTATCTCTAGATGGTGTCACGCCAAACTGGTGTCATCCGGGAAAGCTGGAAAACCAATCACGTGCGTTTTGCTGAAAATTTAAGGCATATGATTGGTTTCCAGCTATCTCAGATTACATCTACTTGGGATAACACCTATTAAAAATACGCCTTCAGAGTTTGTGACGTCCCAGGACGTCACCAGAAGCCCCGGTATAGTAGTTTTTATTCCGATTTTTTAAAACGGTTCAATATAGCGGCGTCTCGAAGCATTGTGCTCCTACGGAAACAAGCATTATGCTCCTAGCCTGCATACACGAGCTAGTAGGCAGTTTGAATCCGTTACTTACTCGACGACAGTACCAAAATGGGGGATCTCACATTGTAAGCATCGGTCGTCTAGAAAACGAAGGACGCTGTTTTTTCCAGGGGTGATCCTTCCCGAGGGTGACAGCCCACTGCAAAGATAACGTTGAAAATATCAGCGTCGAAAATAACGCAAGCCGATGTATTTAGGGCAAGTGGCCCGCATATTGCATCAGTGGGGTCCACACTATGCTTGCTGCAAGAAATGCAGGAACCTGAGCAACAGCTGGCATCGAGATTGAACACTTTTCATGCAACGACGGTCATCCCGACTAGCTCGTACGAAATACACTTCGGTGCAGCATTTTGAGGGAACAGCAGCGCGAGGTCGACCGAATTGACCCAAAGGGCCACGTGTGCAATCGCCGAGCGATAAGGGTCGACGGTTTTAAACCAGGTAAAATTTTCCACGAAGCGGGAAATTTCGCCCAGGTCAAGCCACTGACCTGACCAAGTCATCTAGCGCGTCTCTCTACGGCTGGCACGGGCAGCGTGTCAGCGAGTCACGGAGCGAATGGCATTGGGGACAGGCCTTTTGAAGTCAGGGTAATCACACTTCTTTGTCAAGGAAAAAAAGGTTAAATTTTAACCTCGCCCTGCTTTTGACGCATTCCGGATATCGATACCCGTCCATGGATAGGCAAGCCAGAATTATCCCACGGCCGATTTCCGAGTACAGGATAGACCCGCCCTGTAAAATATAATGTAAATGTTCGCGCCCCTAGTAAAAAATTATCCCCCTGTCATTGTCAGGAGTGGCTTTTCTGAGCTTGACGAAACTCTTGCCTGCAGAAACAGTCAAAGTTTTTAGGGCTTCCCAGCCAGGACAAGTTGGATCCTGGGCAAACTCGGAACTGCAGGGTGACCCCTAGGATATCGAGAGGCCTGATTGGGGAGGGTCACCGATCCCAAAATTGGGTCCATCACTCCACAGCAAGCACCTCGCTCTTAGGGTGAGTCCTAGGCGTACGTCCGAATGCGATTAGGTGAATTACGTTTCAGAAATACCGAAGAACTTTACAAAACGGTTCGGTAGGGTTTTCGCCAAAAACGGACGCTTACAAAACGCGGTATTGTACAAAGAGCAGGTACGAGACTGGTTGTGCAAAGCAAATTCACTTTCACGTCAGTGACTGTGTAGAGCAGTGTTTCAAATACGTTCAAAGGTGCTTACGGAATTAGAGCACCGAGCAACATTTTTCCACTCACAAGTATTATCATTTCATAGCCAATGACAGTCCTCAAAACAACACAGGAATTAGCAGTATCCTTCTCTCCACCACTTGACTGCCACAATACTACTCTGACAGTCTTTCCTCCCTTGCCTTCCCTCCAGCCTCACACCTCCTCTTTACCAATGAGAGAGAGGATGTGTGAGTGCAGTTGCTGCCCCCCACTTGTCGCCAGAACGGACCCCCCCCTCAGCAGGAGCGGCTCCCCAGTCATGCTGGTTACCACGCCACCCGCCTCCTGATTTCGTCGCGCATGCAGGGTGGGCGGGGGGGGGTGCGACGTGGAAATGGATGCGGGGAGAGGGAGGGAGGTGGGAGGTGAGGGGAGAGAGGGGAGGGCAGGATAGAACGGAGGGGCACAGGAGGGTGGGGGAAGGGGTGGTGAAGAGAGGGGGGAATTCTATTTGAAGGTGCTGATAAGCAGGGAGAGGCAGGAGGACTGATGGGTAAAGCAAGGGGAGCCGCCACGCAAGGCGTGTGAGCAGCCAGTGAGGGGTGTGGGCGGGCCGCCAGAGGAAGGGGAAGGAACGTGGTTGAGTGTGCGACTGAAGTTGAAGAGAGAGACGGGATGGGCGCTATGAGAGGTGAGAGGGGTGATGGGTGCACGAAAGAATGCATGACAGGGCACAGGGGAGCGTGTCTGGACTCTGGACAGGTACATGGAAAGGCATACGAAACGGTGCATGCAGGGGTCTATGGGAAAATGCACAGGGGCATGGGGAAATGCATGGGTCTATGAGAAAATGCATGGAAGCAAATGGAGGGTAGAAAAGAAGAATGAACCAAAAAATCTATGTAAAGGCGATTGGATGGGTGCATGGAAGGGCGCACGGAAGTGCGCATGGAAAACCCACCTCTACAAGCAGGTGAGCCGCTGCCACATCCCATGGCTGGTGGGTGGGTAGGGGAGGTGGGTAGGACAGGTGGGTAGGCCAGGTGGGTAGGGCAGCCAAATGTGGGCAGGAGAGGGAGGGAGGGATAGCCATCACCAAAGTAATAACGGGTTATCAAACCCAGTCAGCAACAAGCATGGAAAGGCATGGGCGTCAGCTGGTGTGCATTCAACGGGCCTCAGAAACAAGGGGGTGGTAGAGGTAAGCTTCATCCCACATTGGCCATATCGCATATCCCAAGCCTACTATTTGTCATGCGCTTGTACCTTGAGCCCCTCCTCAAAGAAAGCACCGAGGCGACCTGCGGCCACGTAGCTCATGTGCAGAGCCTGGAGGGACCATGGGAGGGTGGGAGGGTGGGAGGATGATGATGATGGGATGGGCTAGAGAGGAGGGCAGCGAATGGGAGAGAGAGAGAGCAGGATACCAGGAAGGCTAGGAGCGAGATGGCAGCATGATTGGAAAAAGGTTCCTGGTGCTGCACTGGTGATGCACACGCCCCAATGTATACTCTTACATCCCATCACACTCATAGCAAGTGCACTGAATCTGGACACAACCTGGAGGAGAAGGACCTTCCAACACAGAGTTTACTCACACACCTCCCAAGAAACGTGCCATGCCATGTCAAGCCGAGCCGAGCCGCACAATCCCACAAAGCCACACCACCCCACGCCATGCGGCATCACACATCCCCTCCCTGCCCTCCCTTTCCTCCTCCCCTTCCCCACCCCCGCACCCCCCACTTACCGCGGATCCAAACGCCCTCATAGTTCTGGCATGCGGCGCCACTGCTGCCACCGCTTCCACCATGCGCTGCCGCTGCGATGGCTGCACACACGCAGGGGGGGGAGGGGAGGCGAGAGGAGTGGGACAAGGGAAGAGGAGGGGGAGAGGAAGGGAGAGGAGGGGAGACGGAAGGAAAGGAGGGGAAAGGAACGGCCAGTGGTGGAGAGAGGAAAGGAGTGGAGAGGAGGGGATGGGAGAGGGGAGGAGGGGATGGGGGAGGGGAGAAGGCATGTGAGGGGATGTGAGGGGATGTGAGGGGATGTGAGGGGATGTGAGGGACAGAGTGTGAGGGATGAAGGAGTGAAGGGGAGGGGATAGAAATCTGATCATGTTGAGCTGGACAGGGGGGAGCAGGTAAAACATGGTAGCATCCATGTGCATGACAACAGCATCCATGTGCATGTGCCTGTGCCTGTGCATGTGCATGTGCATGTGCATGTGCCTGTGCCTGTGCGTGTGCATGTGCATGTGCCTGTGCCTGTGCGTGTGCATGTGCATGTGCACGTGCATGTGCATGTGCATGTGCATGTGCACGTGCATGTGCATGTGCATGTGCATGTGCATGTGCATGTGCATGTGCATGTGCATGTGCATGTGCGTGTGCCTGTGCCTGTGCGTGTGCATGTGCATGTGCATGTGCGTGTGCGTGTGCATGTGCGTGCGCATGTGCATGTGCGTGTGCCTGTGCATGTGCCTGTGCATGTGCATGTGCGTGTGCGTACATTGGATGGGAAGCCCACAGCAATGGCGGCATCACCAATGGCGGTGGGCACGTTAGGGATGGCAATGCGGCTGCCATTCAGGTACGCGCCTGGAAGGAGGGGAGGGAAGGAGGGAAGAGCGTCGACGAGGGAGCAACAGGGCGTGTGAGTGGCGGCATCACCAATGGCGGCATCACCAATGGCGGCATCACCAATGGCGGTGGTCTCAGTGGGGATGGCAATGCAGCTGCCGTTCAGGTACGCGCCTCTGGAGGGGAGGGGAGGAGAGTAGAGAATAGAGTGGACGAGGGGGGGACAGGGTTTGCGTGAGGGAGATTGAGAGGGAATGGGAGAAGGGAGGGAGGACAAGAGGGATCACGGGAGGGAGGTAATATTCGGAAGTGTGGGTCCCTGCAAGGTGGCTGCAACCCACTGCAATCCGACGCAATCCACGGCCACGCCTCAAGCCTCACCGACGTGCCTGCAGCTGCAGAAATTGTTGTTAGAAGACTTGAGCACCACACCACACCACGCCCAGCTCCATGCTACTCTGATGTGCTGTCCAGCGCTCAACACATGCCCCATTCTTTCTGCCACACCACACCTGCCACCACACCCCCCCCCCCCGCCTCACCTTCCCCCCGCCGGCAGCTGAAGAGCTCGTTGGCGAAGGGGTTGTACACCACGCCCACCTCCATGCGCCCATGGCGCGCCACGCCTAGCGACACAGCGCACATAGGGATCTCGCCCACCTGCGGGGGCAAGAGGGGGGGGAGCGAGGGGAGAGGGGCGAGAGGAGCGAGAGGAGGGAGAGGGGGGAGAGAGGCGAGAGGGGGGAGAGGAGCGAGAGGAGGGAGAGAGGGGAGAAGGGAGAGAGAGGGGGGAGAGAGGGGAGAGGAGCGAGAGGAGGGAGACAGGGGAGACGGGGAGAGAGGGGGGGGGGGGGGGAGAGGAGCGAGAGAAGGGAGAGAGGGGGGAGAGAGGGGAGAGGAGCGAGAGGGGGGAGAGAGGGGAGAGGAGCGAGAGGGGGGAGAGAGGGGAGAGGAGCGAGAGGGGGGAGAGAGGGGAGAGGAGCGAGAGGAGGGAGAGAGGGTAGAGGAGCAAGAGTAGGGAGAGAGGGAGAGGGGTCCAGACCGGCCCACCAGCAGGGACGGTTTAGCTCTGTGTGATTTGGGGGTCAAGAAACCAGATTCCCAACACAAGGAACAACGTCACGCGTCACATGCGAGCACCTCCTTGCTGTTGGTGCAGCTTGAGAAGACTTTTGAGAAAATACACGGACGACACATGCCACGTGTGAGCATATGTGACTTTTGAGTCGACTCAAAGTGACTTTTGAGTCGACTCAAAAGTCACATGCGGCGTGTGAGCATATGTGTAGCACATGAACTGGACTACATGGCAAGGCGGGTGGAAATGGGAGGGGGGAGTGGGAGGGGGGACGGAGCAAAGGCAGCATGACGTGTGGTCGAACAAGAGCATAAGACACAAGGGATTGCATAATACATGCTGCTGCTGCTGCTGCTGCTGCTGCTGCTGCTAGGAGAAACACGCGCTTCCACAGTCCACGCCCCCTCACTCATGGCCGCTGCAGCACAGCAACACCATCACCAATAGCAGCAGCACCGCCATCAGCACCATTACCACGAGCAGAAACTCACAAAATTGAGTGTTCCATCTATGGGGTCCACAATCCATGCCCACTCGTTCATGGCTGTTGAAGCGCCAGCAGCGCCGTTATCAGCGTCAGCAGCAGCAGGGCTGGCTCCCTGCTGCAGCCATGCCATGTCCGCCTCTGTGGCTGTCTCCTCGCCTATGATGCGGTGCAGGGGGAACGTGGACTGGTGGGAGGGAGGGAGGGACGCAGGGGAGGACAGGGAGTAGAGTTATTTAGGCACCTCATAAGAGGTAGCCTTGCCATGTAGACGCAAGAGCAGATAGGCGACACAAGGGGCCATGGGGAGGAAGGTGTTTGAGTCTGCTTGTGAGTCGACTCAAAAGGGGGCATGGGGAGGACGATGTTTGAGAATTCTCCAAAACCAGCTCATCACGAAGGGGGGCCGGCGGCAGCAGAAAGGCGAGATAAGGGGGTATGGGAAGGACGGGGGAACGAGTGGAGGACGAGTGGCAGACGAGTGGCGGACGAGTGGAGGACGAGATGAAATGAAAGTCTTAGAAGTAGTAGATGGAATCGATTTTTGTTTTGCCACGAGCTCCTTGCCGTAAAATGGCAAGGAGCCAAGGAGCTCGTGGCAAAACAGAAATGCTCCTTGGCATGACGGAGATTAAAAAGACATGAGACGAGCCAACATGGCATACAATTAGCATGGCACATCCCATCATATCCCTCCATGCATCAGCAAGCACACCCAAACCAATGCATGCACCATGACCATCATCGTCATCCCATGGCCATCCTCACCCCATGATCATCACATCACTGCCTCTCACCTGCACTACATTGGAGATGTATCGCTCGCACTCCTTGTCCACCTCCGTCACCAAGTCGCACGCATACTCCTTGCGCTCCACCTGCTCCCACACACATGCACGCACGCGCGCGCGCGCGCGCGCACACACACACACACACAGTCAACGCCATACCCACTTCCCCTCCCCCCCCTCCCCACCCCAGCCCCCAGAACCCCTCTCGCCCCTCACCATCCCCCACACCGCACATGCAGACAGCACGTGACCACATGGGTTGAGGCAGTGGCAGTGCTGCTATAGCCAATGGGAAGAGGATTCGGCAGGAGAGAGAAGGCAACAAGTAAGATAGGCACATAGCCATGCTTACCGTCTTTATTTGCTTTATTCGCTTCCGAATGATCTCCCCAGTCTGTACACAAGCACACACGCGCACACGGGGGCACGCGTGCACACACACACACACACACACACACACACACACGTACACACACACGTACACACACACGTACACACACACGTACACACACACGTACACACACACGTACACACACACGTACACACACACGTACACACACACACACACGTACACACACACGTACACACACACGTACACACACACGTACACACACACGCACACACACACGTACACACACACGTACACACACACGTACACACACACGTACACACACACGTACACACACACGTACACACACACGTACACACACACGTACACACACACGTACACACACACACACACACGTACACACACACGTACACACACACGTACACACACACGTACACACACACGTACACACACACGTACACACACACGTACACACACACGTACACACACACGTACACACACACGTACACACACACGTACACACACACGTACACACACACGTACACACACACGTACACACACACGTACACACACAACACGTACACACACACGTACACACACACGTACACACACACGTACACACACACGTACACACACACGTACACACACAAACACACACGTACACACACACGTACACACACACGTACACACACACACACACACGTACACACACACGTACACACACACGTACACACACACGTACACACACACGTACACACACACGTACACACCACACACGTACACACACACGTACACACACACGTACACACACACGTACACACACACGTACACACACACGTACACCACGACACCACGTACACACACACGTACCACCCACACACACGTACACACACACGTACACACACACGTACACAACAACACACCACGTACACACACACGTACACACACACGTACACACACACGTACACACACACGTACACACACACGTACACACACACGTACACACACACGTACACACACACGTACACACACACGTACACACACACGTACACACACACGTACACACACACGTACACACACACGTACACACACACGTACACACACACGTACACACACACGTACACACACACGTACACACACACGTACACACCACGTACACACCACGTACACACACACGTACACACACACGTACACACACACGTACACACACACGTACACACACACGTACACACACACGTACACACACACGTACACACACACGTACACACACACGTACACACACACGTACACACACACGTACACACACACGTACACACACACACGTACACACACACGCACACACACACACACACGTACACACACACGTACACACCACGTACACACACACTACACACACACACGCAAACACGTACACACACACACACACACACACACACACACCACACACAGTACACACACACACACACACAACACACACACACACACACACACACACACACACGTACACACCACACACACACACACGTACACACACACCACACACGTACACACACACACACACACACACACACACACACACACACACGTACACACACACACACGCACACGTACACACACACACACACACACACATGAAGGATGAGAGTGAGTGACAGGGGGAGCGTGAGATAGGAGGGAGGCAGGGAGTGCGGGAGAACGGGAAAAGGTTTAGGGAGGGAGGCAGGGAGCAGGCCAGCACTCCATCCCGGGCCATCCCTCTCCACCATCACCCTCACGAATCCAGCTCTCTTAGGCCAAAAGAAACTCCCAACTCGCAGATCCTACAACAGCACAGCCATTCGGTGCCAGAATGAGCAGCGGAGACGACTCGATATTTTGCCCTATTTTTCTGTGCGTCCTCCCTCTGCTCTAGGAGACCTCCAACCCCACCGCACCGCACCCATCCCAACCCCCATTTGAACTATCCCTGCGCTCGCCTCCATCGGAATTGCCTCGATCCTACCAACCCCCTTCCCCCCTCCCTCTTCCCCCCTCCCTCTTCCCCCCATCCCAACCCCCTCCCCGCGCTCGTCTCGATCGCAATGCTCTCCGCCGTTTCCAGCACGCACTCCGCCAGGTCGTTCTTGCGCTCTTGCCCTCTTCGCCTTTATCTTCTCTAGGAAACCTCGGTAACCCACCCGTCCCAACCCGTCCCAACCCATCCCAACCCCCATGTCAAACTCTCCCCGCGCTCGCCTCGATGGCGATGCTCTCCGCCGTTTCCAGCACGAATTCCGCCAGGTCGTTCAGCAGCGGGTCGTCCTGCAGCCGCCTGCTCCCCCCTCCCCCCGCGCCCCAAACGGCCGCCGCCGTGCGCCTCCCGGGGCTTCCCCGCGGGCGCGCATGTGCGCGGGAAACATAGCGATTTGGACCAGACGCGCCCTGAAAGGGAATGGCATGAGGCGAGGAAGATCGCTTGGGGATCGCGGTGTGTAGATTAGTGCCGGTTGTGAGTGGTGTAGCGCTGCGGGGTGCGGCTAGTCGCCCGTGTGCGTCCAGCGACGGAAGCATTGCGACGTTCATGGCGAAGCGGAAAGCGACGGCGAGGAAAGCGGCGCTGGATGTGGGGATACTGGGATTAGAGATGGAGAAAGAAGCAGGTGAAACTACACTTGTTATGAATAATAACTGAGTGCGCAGAATAATAATGACGAGTACAAGAATGAGAGCCTAGCACTCTATAGCGAGAAGCCTAGCTAGGCGAGGACCCCGGAGGACTAGGTTGGGTACAGCCGCGGTCGTAAGGTTCGGAGGCGGCACGAGCCAGCCTCGGGGCTGCTTCGGAAACGGACCGAGCCTGGAGGCTGTTCAGGTGGCCCACCAGGAACCCGCCATGCCTGGAGCCTGGAGGTTGTTCGCGGAAATGAAGGTACTCCTGCCAAACCAAAATGAGGAAGAGTCAATACCTCCTAAGAAAGGTGGTCAATATCGGAAACGCCTTTTTGGGTCAAATACGATATGAGTGTCAAACATGTGTATTTGTCATGTTTGTATAGACTGTATAGGGTCGCCTCTTAGAGAGTACAACACTTAGGTATATCTTTGTGTACTCTCACTCTATCTATTATTCAATTTTCAATTCTGATATGGTATCACGCGTAGGTAGGATCCCCCCCACCTATCGCTTCCGCTCACCCCTCTAGCCCCTAGCCCCGTCGCGCCCCTCACTGGGCCCTGTCGCGCCCCTCCCAGGCCCCCTAGCGCCCCTCCTGGGCCCCGTCGCGCTCCTCCCAGGCCCCGTCGCGCCCCTCCTGGGCCCCTGTAGCGCCCCTCCTGGGCCCCGTCGCGCCCTCCCTCGGCCCCGTCGCGCCCCTCCTGGGCTTCGTAGCGCCCCTCCTGGGCCCCGTAGCGCCCCTCCCAGGCCCCGTCGCGCCCCTTCCAGGCCCCCTAGCGCCCCTCCTGGGCCCCGTCGCGCTCCTCCCAGGCCCCGTAGCGCTCCTCCTGGGCCCCGTAGCGCCCCTCCTGGGCCTCGTCGCGCCCCTCCCAGGCCCCGTCGCGCCCCTCCTGGGCTCCGTAGCGCCCCTACTGGGCCCCGTCGCGCCCCTCCTGGGCCCCGTAGCGCCCCTCCTGGGCCCCGTCGCGCCCTCCCTGGGCCCTGTAGCGCCCCTCCTGGGCCTCGTCGCGCCCCTCCCAGGCCCCGTCGCGCCCCTCCTAGGCCCCGTAGCGCCCCTCCTGGGCCTCGTCGCGCCCCACCCCTGGGCTTCGTAGCGCCCCTCCTGGGCCCCGTTGCGCCCCTCATGGGCCCCTGTAGCGCCTCTCCTGGGCCCCCCCCGTCGTGCCCCTCCTGGGCCCTGTAGCGCCCCTCCTGGGCCGCGTCGCACCCCCCCCGGTCCCGTCGCCCCTGCCCGACCCCGTCGCAGCCGCCCGGCCCCGTCGCGCCCGCCCGGCGCCGTCGCCCCCGCCCGGCCCCGTCGCGCCCGCCCGGCCCCGTCGCAGCCGCCTGGCCCCGTCGCACCCTGCCCGGCCCCGTCGCAGCCGCCCGGCCCCGTCGCACCCGCCCGGCCCCGTCGCACCCTGCCCGGCCCCGTCGCAGCCGCCCGGCCCCGTCGCACCCGCCCGGCCCCGTCGCACCCTGCCCGGCCCCGTCGCAGCCGCCCGGCCCCGTCGCACCCGCCCGGCCGCCGTCCAGCTCGCCCAGCCCCGTCGCACCGGCCCGGCCCTGCCGCACTCGCCCGGCCCCGTCGCCCCAGCCCGGCCCCGTCGCGCCCGCTTGGCCCCGTCGCGCCCGCCCGGCCCCGTCGGGCCAGCCCCGGCCCCGTCCTCCTCACTGGTACGGTTCCCCCCCCCACCCCGCCCTGCTCCGTGCCGCCTCGCATCACACTGTACTGCCTGGCATCGCACTGTACCGCACTGCACCGCACAGCACCGCACTGCACCGCACTGTACCGCACTGCACCGCACTGCACCGCACTGTACCGCACTGCACCGCACTGTACCGCACTGCACCGCACTGCACCGCACCCCACCTAGCTGCACTGCCCTGCACCGCACTGGACTGTTCCTGATGGCGGCGGAGCTTCGCTTCGACGCTGAAGGTCAGCCCCTAGAGTTCGAGGCGTGGCTTGCCGACCTCCGCCGCCAACTCACTTACCAGCGGCAGGATGGTGAACCGCTTTCCGCACACCTTGACGGTACGCTCCCCTGCCCAGACCCCCCTGCTATTCTGCCCGCTGACCCCACACCCACTGCGCGTGAGTCTACTGCTGCCACTGCCCGTGCGCGCTCTGTCTGGCTTCCTCGCGATGCTGTCGCCCAGCTTGCCATTAGCAACGCCCTCCCCCCATCCGAGCGTCCTCGCTTTAGGTCCCTCACTACTACTCAGGCATACTTAGATGCTGTGATCCAGCTCTATTCCACCCCTCCGGCTGCCTCGGTGGGTCGCCTGATCCTCCCGATGCTCTTTCCTGACCTTGCATCTTTCCCCACTGTCTCTGACCTCGCTACCCACCTGCGCTCGATAGAGGAGACCTGGCGCGCCGCCCTCACTGACGCACAGCTTAGAGCCCACCAGCCGCCCATTACCTCTACCCTCTATCTGCTTGCCACGCGCCTCCCTGACCGCCTTGCTGTCGCCCGCGACCGCTTCCTTAGCATTCACCCCGCCGATCTCACCCTCACTGACTTTGTAGACACCCTGACTGTGATAGAGACCCGTCACCGCTCCATCGCCCAGGCGAGCGGTGTCGTGCCGGTCCCTATCTTTCAGGGCTGTGCCCCCGCCCAGTGTACCTTGTCCGACGGCTCTGTCGCAGTGGCTGAGACCGATGCTGCAGCGCAGTCTCGTTCGGAAAAGGGCCGCCGCCCCAAGGTTGGGCGCGGCGGAGGCGGGGGTGCGGGAGGGGGTAGTGGTGGGGTCGGGTCGTCTGGTGCTGGAGCGGACGAGGGGACCCTGCCCAGTCCGGCTGAGCCGCCGCCCCTGCAGTTGCAACAGCCGCAGCAGCCGCCGCAGTCGCAGCCTTCGCCGTAGCCGCAGCAGCCGTCGCAGACACGGCAGACGAGTGTCCTCCCGCCCGGGTGGCCCGGCGCTGGCGGTGGCCCGGCACGTGGTGGTGTGTCGAGTGGTGGCTCTGGCGGTGGACGTTGTCAGTACCAGATCCAGACCGGTCCTCGCCGCGGCTACGTTTGCGGTAAGATCGGTCACTCCACTCCCCGCTGTTTTCATCGCCTGGACGACCTCTTTCGTCAGCGCTTCGGCCCGTCGCCAGACCTCCCGGACTGGCACAGCATGCTTAGACGTAGTATTCCGATTTTTGACTTGGACATGGATGCCATTGTTGTTGCTCTGCATGTGATGTATGCGGATGACTCTAGTGTGCTTCCAGCTTATTAATCACTGTTGCCTAGCGTAGGTGTGTCTAGTGTAGCCTCCCCTGCTGCGTCAGGCGTAGGATCCTCTGCTTTGTGTAGTCTTGGTGCTACCACCGTCGTTCCGACACCAGACGCCTCTGCTTCGCTTTCCTTCACCTTGGACTCTGGCGCTTCTCGGTGTTTCTTCCGCGACTCCACCACCCTGACGCCGCTTCCTGTTCCTACTGCCGTCTCTCTTGCTGACCCCTCTGGTGGTCCGGTAGTCGCCCGCAGTTCCACCACCCTTCCCTGCCCGGCGGTTCCTTCGGGCTCTCTCACAGGTCTGCATATCCCCTTGTTCTCCAGGAACCTAGTTGGTGTCGGCTGCCTCCAGGACCTTGGCGTCACCACTACGTTCCCTGGCCACGAGCGGTATGCTGTCTGTACCGAGGCCGCCACTGGTGCCCCCCAGTCCACGTTCCCCCGGGACCCGGTGTCCGGCCTGTTCACTCTGGACACCGTGACCCCCCCGGCTGGGGCCCCCCCTAGGGTGGCTGCGTCTACCCAGGTTGCTGCTGCCTGCTCCTGTCGGTCTCTCACTCACCGGACTCTCCTTTGGCACCACCGCCTAGGTCACCCTGCGCTCCCGCGTCTGCGTCACATGTCCCAGCACGGTCTTGTCCTTGGTCTCCCAGGTTCTCTCCCCACATTTCCCTCCTCCCCCGACCCTCCTTGCACGCCCTGTGTCGAGGGTCGGCTTCGCCGTGCCCCTCACTCCTCCTCGTTTCCCCCTACCGCCGCGCCACTGCAAACCCTGCACCTGGACGTCTGGGGCCCCGCCCCCGTCCCTAGGCCGCGTCGAGAGCGCTACTTCCTTGTGCTCATCGACGACTTCACTCGTTACACCACTGTCTGTCCCCTGGAGCGCAAGGCCGACGTGCCTGCCGCTCCCATCCCCTGGCTTGTCTCTGCGCGTGTCCACCGCGGTCTCCCTGTCTTGCGTCTTCACTCAGACCGTGGTGGCGAGTTTGCCTCAGGTGTCCTTGGTCGCTTTTGTCGTGCGGAGGGCATCACCCAGACGTTCACCCTACCAGACTCCCCACAGCAGAATGGGGTCGCTGAGCGACGCATCGGTTTGGTCATGGAGGTGGCTCACACCTCCATGATCCATGCCGGTGCACCCCATTTCTGTGGCCGTTCGCTGTGCGCTACGCTTCTCACCAGCTTAACTTGTGGCCGCACCCTCAGCAGCCGCAGGTTTCGCCGACCCGTCTTTGGACTGGGTCTCCTGGTGACGCGTCTGCGTTCCACGTCTGGGGCTGCCTTTCTCACGTCCGTGCCTCCGGCACGGAAAAGCTCACTGCCCACACCCTTCCCTGCGTCTTCCTCGGTTTTCCCCTTGACGCGTCCGACTGGCACTTTTACCACCCGCCGTCTCACCGCTTCTTTGACTCTCGTAACGTCACCTTTGACGAGTCCGTCTCCTACTACCGTCGCTTCCCCCACCATGGTCCCCCGGTTACCCCCCCCCTGTTCCTGGTCACTCCTTCCCCGGTAGTACCTGCCCCTCCTCCTCCTCCTCCCCGTCTCGCCCCCTCTGGTGTGTCCCACGTCACCCCCCTTCCGTCGGTGGACCCGGCTGGGGAGTCTTCTGACTCTGGTGGCCCTCCTGTGCAGTCCTCGCCGGCCGCCCCTCCCCTGGCGTCCCCTTCCCAGTCCCCTCCTCCACCGCCTCTGCCGCCGCTGCAGCCGTCGTTGTCGCTGCCGCCGCCACCGCCGCCGCCGCCGTCGCAGCACCCGTTCGCTGACTCTGGGGGT